TCGAAAGCCAGCCGAATCCGACTCTAGGGGTGCGGTGCTCATCTCCGTTTCCAAGCCGAAGAGCCAGCGTTGTCCAAGGACATTTCTGTGGTCGTGTGGCCAGCATGAATAGATGCCGAGGCGCACGGAATGCTGTTACCTTCCCACTGAAGTGGTACCTATTTATCTACTTGCAATTTCTTGCTTTTGAACTGCTTGGTTGGCAGGAGCTGGGACCAGAGATGGGAGCACACTCCGTCTTGCGGCACTCGGGTCTCGAACTGCTGAACTACCGACCTTCCAAGCATAAATCTGCTTAGGGACTGTATTGATTACCTGTGATCTCACCCCACTTCCGCAGGGAAGATCTATCAGCAGATTTGAGACACAGCTGGAGCTTTCCTATTTCTCTCTTGTGGAATGGACACTGGGATCCCATCACGCATCCCAAATCCTGCAGTTCTTCTCATCTAGGATGCCATCCCTGTTCAAGGGACGCACATGACTACAGCCTACAACTGATTCAAAACCTACAACAAGTGGCAAAGCCAACACTTTGTAGCTCTAAATTGTGGTGTAGTTTGGTGTCGTGGTTAAGTGCGCGGACTCTAATCTGGGAGAACCGGGTTTGATCCCCCACTCCTCCACTTGCACTTGGCTGGATGACCTTGGGTAAGCCGTAGTTCTGATAAGAGGCGGTTATTGAAAAAGAGCAGTTTGTGTCAGAGCTCTCTCAGCCCCACCTACCTCACAGGGTGTCTGTTGTGGGGAGGGGAAGGGAAAGGAGTTTGTAAGCTGCTCTGAGACACCTTTGGGTAGTGAAGGGCGGGGTGTAAATCCAATCTCCTCTCCTCCCTCCTCCTCCTAAATCCAAATTGTGCCCCAAGAAGAGGTTAATTCCTTTCTTTCAAAAAATTAAATAAGACAACTTTATGCCTTTCAACGAAAACCCAAATATGCTGCCTTTTTTTTGGTCTTTGGGTTGCAGCCGACTTACAGCAACCCCTAAAGGGGAGAAGAAGGAGGAGGAGGAGGAGGAGGAGGAGATTGGATTTATACCCCGCCTTTCACTACCCAAAGGAAAGGAGTCTCAGAGCAGCTTACAAACTCCTTTCCCTTCTCCTCCCCACAACAGACACCCTGTGAGGTGGGTGGGGCTGAGAGAGCTCTGACAGAAACTGCTCTTTTTCAAGAACAGCTGTGCCAGAACTATGGCTTGCCCAAGGTCATCCAGTTGGCTGCATGTGGAGGAGTGGGGAATCAAACCCGGTTCTCCCAGATTAGAGTCTATGCACTTAATCACTACACCAAACTGGCTCTCAGTAGTAGGGGTGCCAGACCCCTGGTGGAGGCAGGGGTTCCCCGCAGCCAGGCCCTATCCCCCAGCTGCTGATCGGCTGGCTGGTGGGGGGCTTATCTAGAGAAAGACCCAAGCTTTGTTTTTGGTATCACACAGGAAGTGATGTCATCACACCAGCCGCATCCAAGCAGTGCTCTGGTATTAGGGCAAAAACTCTATGGTAGAAGCTAGTTTTACCATATAGTTTTTGCCCAAATATCAGAACGTCACCTGGATATCACTGGTGTGATGACACCACTTCCTTTGCTATGCTGGCAATAAGACAATCCTTCCTTTTTTGGATGGGTTAGCAGTGCTGATGGATAAGGTATGTCTTGAGAAACTACTGACTGATGAAAGTCCAGCTATTACTAAGGTGACAACTAAGTCCTGTGCCCAAATGATCAAAGTGCGCAGCAAACAATAGACCTGTTCAGTAGGAATTCTCCTTCCCTGTTTTGATTTTATATTTTTAGAATAAGAGATGATATTGTTTATTTCTGAAATATTATGATGGGTATAGTTTATCTATGAAATAACCAGTTGCTTAACTGAATTCAAAGACATTATCTGTTCTGTTATTTCTGTTCTATAACTATTATTATTTCAGTTCAAATTTCTGTTCTATTACAACTGCGTGTTTAGTTATACCAGGAGTCCCCAACCTTCTTGAGCCTGTGAGCACCTTTGGATACAAGGTGATGGGGACAGGAGGCGGGGTCAACCACAAAATGGCCGCCACAAGTGCTTCAGGCAACCACAAAATGTCAGAGAGTGAGGTCATGTATAACTATAACACTAACTCTTCAACATTTCAGGCAGAAGCTCTGTTTAACAGGATGCCTTTTGAAATGAACATACTGTTTTAAAATATTTCCTTAGGTATGCGCAGCTTACCTTCAGTCACAGAGCGAAGATCCTTGTGCTGTGGTCAGAGCAGCTGCCAAAGCAACGTTTTTAAAGATCTGCACAGTCAATCAGATCTCCAGTGGCCAATCAGAAGCTCCGCTGGACAAAAGCCCCATCTGGCCCCGCCAACTTTCCAAAAATGCTTGGCAGGCACCAGGAAAGGACTCAGTGGGCATCATGGCACCCGTGGTCACCATGTTGGGTAGCTGTGGCAGAAATTTGGGTTTAGGTGGAGACCTGAGAATTTCTGTCTTCCTCATCATGTTCTCTAAAGCTGCTGTGGCCTATGCATTAGCTCGGATAGACTTTGGTCCTGTCCCAGAGATCACTGCAGTGCTGTTCTGCTTTCTTTGCTGTAACTCTGGCATCTGGCAAAGTGGGGCCTTGGAGATTGTTTTCATTCTTGGTGACAGCATGTTCCATCCCCAAGACTAAACTTCCATGGATTAAGGTCAGGCATGTCTCCGGCACTATCTAGGGATGCTTGACATGTCCCAATAAACCAAGGTCGGTAATGGCTTGAGGGGCTTTTTAGGGGAGAGGGTCTGCTTACTGTATCACGTATCATTCTTCATTGACACCCACATTAGCAATGCATAGTAATAAAAAAGTATAAAAGGGGGTAAAATTAGTGGGAAGGGGCTGGCTTTCTGACCAGGCTGCTTTGGCCTTTCCGTCTGGCAGCCCAAAGACCTCTGATAAAGATGTAAGCTATATTGTTATCTGCTCTGAGCACAGAACATTTCCCCCCCCTTTTTCTGTGTTGTCTAGTTGAAGAACCAATAAAGTAGGCTTTAGCACAAGGTTTTGTCTGTGCCTTTTGCCCACGGGGCTGGTCCCTCGCTGGTCTGCATCCGGGCCAGAAATCCAGAAAATCTTTTCCCTAACAGGACCCTTGAGTCATACAAGTCCCATTGTATTGTTTTGTATATTGGAAAGTTTTGACCTAAAGCCATTAGCTTGCATTGTCTTGCAAGTTATATTCCAAATTCAGCCCCACAGAACTCACACAGGCAGAGGTTATACTAGTAAAGTAAAAGGTCAAGGTTTCCCTTGCTCGAAAGCCAGTCGAATCTGACTCTAGAGCGCGGTGCTCATCTCTGTTTCCAAGTTGAAGAGCCAGCGCTGTCCGAAGACATTTCCGTGGTCCCTCTGTCATGCGGCACTTGGGTCTCGGACTGCTGAACTACAGACCTTCTAGTCTGCAGTTCAGCGTCTTAACCTCTAAGCCACCGCAGCCTCATACTACCAAATGTTTAATCCCCCCTCCCCCGGCGGCTTGTTTTCCCTGTCAAATAGCCGCACATACTACCAGGGTTCGATCGTCAAATGTTTTTGAGTCCACACGGATTATGGGACAACTGTCACCAAACAATTCCACAATGTCATGGGAAGTATTCCTGTGCTCGTTCACAAGGAGGTTGAGTTCAAGATAACCAACAGTTAGCTTAACGGGAATTAACGAATGCACTGTAGATAAGGAGGCACTGCATCACTAAAGATGTGCCATGTAGATTAAAATGTGCAACGCAGATAGATCAAGATGGGTAGCCGTGTTACTCTGTCTGTGGCAACAGAAAAGAGCGAGAGTCCAGTCTGTAGCAGTAGGAAAGGAGCTGCGGTGGCTCAAGTGGTTAAGACGCTGAACTGCAGGCTGTGGAAGGTCGGTAGTTCAGCAGTTCAAGACCCGAGCGTGCTGCATGACGGCGTGAGCTCCCATCTCTAGTTCCAGCTCCTGCCAACCCAGCCGTTCGAAAGCAAGAAATTGCAAGTAGATAAATAGGTACCACTTTGGTGGGAAGGTAACAGCGTTCCGTGCGCCTTGGTGTTTAGTCATGCCGGCCACATGACCACGGAAACGTCTTCGGACAGCGCTGGCTCTTCGGCTTTGAAACGGAGATGAGCACCGCAACCCTAGAGTCGGATTCGACTGGCTTTCGAGCAAGGGAACCTTTACCTTTACCTTTAGCAGTAGGAAAGAGTGAGAGTCCAGCAGGACCTGAAAGACTAACAAAATTTGTGGCAGGGGAGAAGCTTTCGTGAGTCACCGCTCACTTCTTCAGATACATCTCACTCCTTCAGAACAATGGCATGTCACTCTTCTCTACTGACAGGTGTCTATGAGAGCCTCTTCACACATGAGGCTGAAATTGGCTCTGTCCTAGCGGAAACATGAAATCTGCGGAGGCTGCAAGGGTGTTTCTCTTCCAAAACTTCCCCCATGCTTAAGAAACATTGGTGTCTGTGCAAAAAGCATGAGAGAGACTCAAATGCCTTTCTCCCTGTCAGGCATGGGAATAAAGGAGGGGTGTGTGTTGAAGACTGATGGTTCATGCAATGCTCTGGCTAAGCTTTGAAGAAGATTATGATGAGGAGGAGGATATTGGATTTATACCCTGCCCTTCACTTGGGAGTCTCAGAGCAGCTTACCATCTCCTCTCCCCTTTTCTCCCCACAACAGAAACCCTGTGAGGTAGGTGGGGCTGAGAGAGCTCTCTGAAGAACTGCTCGTGAGAGAACAGCTCTGAAAGGACTTGTGACTGACCCAAGGTCACACCAGCAGCTGCATGTGGAGGAGTGGGGAATCAAACCCGGTTCTCCCAGATTAGAGTCTGCTACTAACCACTACACCAAACTGGCTCTCAAAAACGAGAATAGTACAAACCTCTTTCCTGACAACAACACCACTGCTTAATTATGCATTCAAATTACCTTGGTATATGAAAAGGTTAAAAAAAATTTCATGTTTATCTGTAAGATAAAAAGACTGTACCTGTAATGCACTGAAATTGTCCATCTTCTCTTCTTATTGTAAACGCTTCTCCTGGATTCACTTGGACCAGAATAACCTTCAAAATGATTAAAGTTTAGAATTAGATACCATATATTCAACATGATTTTTTCCCCTTCTCAATTAACAAAAAGGATCTCTCTCAGTCTCTCTCAGACTTCACACCAGAACCTTGGTGTTGGAATATGCAAGGTCTATAGTGCATCCAGAAGAAGAAGAGGAGGAGGAGGAGGAGGAGGAGGAGGAGGAGGAGGAGATTGGATTTATACCCCGCCCTTCACTACCCAAAGGTGTCTCAGAGTGGCTTACAAACTCCTTTCCCTTCCCCTCCCCACAACAGACACCATGTGAGGTAGGTGGGGCTGAGAGAGCTCTTGACAGAAACTGCTCTTTTTCAAGAACAGCTCTTAACAGAACTACGGCCTGAAGATCACCCTACAGGGGGACAGTTAGCATAGGTAGATTAGGGACTGGCCACAGTTTCCAGTTGTGTCCTTCCTGTCTCCTGATTGGCTCTTCTGCAGACTTCCTGCTCCTGCAGAGCTTCCTTCCTGTTGTTGTTCCTCCTTCAGCAGTTAGGCTAAACATTTAAGGTTCTTCCTCCTCTCTGTGCTATAACAGTTTGGTCTTCTTTAATAAACCTACTGATTTTTCTCTAAACAGTCAGTGCTCCACTTCCTTTGTATATTTTAACTCTACCCACACTTGGGCTGCCTGCTCTTCAGAATTCCTTCAAGAGAAATGACTATGGAAAGCTTTAGTAGGGGAGCGACAGCCCCCTCCTTTCAAGGGCTTTAAATCAAGGCCCCCTTTGAAGGCAACTGTCCCAACAGAAGTGGAAGTCGTTTGGCAAAGGATACTTGGGAAAGATACTTGGAAAATCCTATCAGTTCTGTTGGCAAAGCTATGGAAGCCTACATCCAAGTCAAAACAGAGTTGCCTTCTTGGACTTTTACCTCCCTGGTGGTGGCTAAAATTCACATCTGTCCCAAATCAGGTTGGCCACCTCTAGGTAGAGCCCGAAAAACCTCCCAGAATGACAACTGATCTCTATAAAGAAATCAATCTCCCTAGAGAAAATAGCTCCTTTGGAAGGTGGACTCTGTGGCATTATATCCCACTAAGGTCCTTCCTCTCCGCCAACCGTGCCCTCCCCAAATCTCCAGGAGTTTCCCCAACCCGGAGTTGGCAACTCTACTCCCAAAGACTTGGCAAAACAAAAAACACCAAGTCACTTGAATTGCAGAGTAGGTACTTCCTTGTAGATCAGCAACTTCGTGCATTTTGTTTCAGAATTTGTATAAGTTGCTTCTTCCCGAGGCGTGTAAATTATGGTTGCCAGCCTCCATGGGGGCCCTGAAGATTTTCCACTTTTACAACCAGTGTTCCCTCTAAGCCGAGTTAGTGTGAGCTGGCTCACAGTTTTTTAGCCTCTGGCTCACACATTTTTATCTTAGCTCAGGAAGGATTGCTCCAGAGCAAACTAATTTATGCAGTAGCCAAATTGCTTGCTTGCAACTTTAATGCCAGTAGCTCACAAAGTAGAATTCTTGCTCACAAGACTCCACAGTTTAGAGGGAACATTGTTTACATGACCTCCAGCTCCCTGGAGAAAATGGCTGCTTTGAAGGGTGGACTGTATGTAGGGTTGCCAGGTCCCCGGCAGAGGGACGGAGCTTCCTTTCCGGGATCTTCTGGCGCGTCACCCGGGAGTGACATCATTGTGCCGGGGGGTGCTCTAGCATTCAGCCAGAAACTCTATGGTTTTTAGGCTGAGTGCTAGAGTGTCCCCTCCGGCAATGTGCCCAGCGCAGTGATGTCACCTCCGGGTGATGTCATCACAGAGATGCGTGGGAATGTCAGCCCTGCAAAACGGATGGATCTGGCCTAGCTAGGGTTGCCATTCTCCAGGGGAGTGGCTGGAGATCTGGGATTACAACTGGTCTCCAGGTAAAAGAGATCAATTCGTCTGGAGAAAATGACTACTTTGGAAGGTGGAATTTGTAGCATTGTACCCCACTGAGGTCTCTCCCTTCCCCAACCCCCCTTCCCCAAGCCACCACCACCCCTCAAAATCTCTAGGAATTTCACAGCTCAGAGCTGAGAACCCTAGGCCTAGCTGGTTTAGATCTAAGAGGTCATTTCATTCATCTTTCATTCCCCTCCCAAGATTAATGAGCAGGGCACCATCAGCTTGAATTAGCTACATTCTGAATGAACATCTCTACTAGGTGGTGGTGGTGGTGGTGGTGGTGGTGGTGGTGGTGGTGGTGGTGGTGGTGGTGGTGGTGGTGGTGGTGGTGGTGGTGGTGGTGGTGGTGGTGGTGGTGGTGGTGGTGGTGGTGGTGGTGGTGGTGGTGGTGGTGGTGGTGGTGGTGGTGGTGGTGGTGGTGGTGGTGGTGGTGGTGGTGGTGGTGGTGGTGGTGGTGGTGGTGGTGGTGGTGGTGGTGGTGATTGGATTTATACCCCTTTTCCCTTCCCCTCCCCACAACAGACACCCTGATTAACCACTACACCAAACTGGCTCTCAACAGGAACTATAATTCAAGAACAAGTAGGGGAAATGAGTACAGTAAAGGTAGGTAAAATAGGGTTGCCAGCTCTAGGTTGGGGAATACCTGGAGATTTTGGGGGTGGAGGCTGGAGAAGGTGTGGTTTGGGGAGGGGCGGGACCTCAGCTTGGTTCAATGCCACAGAGTCCACCCTCCAAAGCAGCCATTTTCTCCAGGGGAACTGACATCTGTTGTCAGGAAATCAACTGTAAAAGTGGCAACCTCACCTCCCGGTGACAGTATTTTTACCTCAGAAAATGAATGCCCACACTCTGTACACTGAAGAGATCCCCCCCACCCCGTATTCTGGTAGAGATAATTAAATGATTGGGATAGAAATCCCAAAAGACGCCCATTCTTGTTCATGACAAAAACTACCGACTGTGTTCTCATTCAGCTGAAAGGAGGGAGAAAGCACGTCTCAAAGTATAACTGTCAGTTTGTATTAAGACATCAGTGCCTTGGAAGGAAACCACCCCTATTCCAAGAGCAGGGATTCGAGAGACCGAACGCCGCAATTTCGTACTTAACATCATATGCCTGTGAGTCATGAAGGGAGCGTGCTCTCTCAATTCTCCCCGGAAGATGGGAAGGCTGCATAGTAATCAGCCTAGCCTTTTCCAGGCCGGGGGTTATCTGGAAAGAGCTGATTGTTTGGTCATTACAGAGGAGGCAGAGTGACACGAGTCGGGTGCCGGAGCTCTCGAGCTTTCCGAACTGTCTGAAATTGTTCTTGCTTGCCCTTGGATCAAACTATAGCTTTACGTTAATTTTACAGCTGAGTTGTTAAGCCCCCTAAAGTTTGCAGCTGGAGAGGCTGTTTCATCAATGGGGATATTTGCAGGTCACCCTTCCCCCCCCCCCAACACGTGGTCTCGGCATAGCAAATTCTGGTATCAGATTCTTACACTGAAATGTATGAATGCACTCGGGCCAATGTTGACCACCCGACGTCCTATAGATTCGTCATGAGACTCACTGCATTCAGATAGGATTGCATGAGGGATAATGCCAGATACTCTCTCCAAACTTCTCTGATAAAAACCAGGAGAATAAGGAAAGATCAAAACAACTGCAGTGTTGTAATGAGAACAAACTTAAAAGTATCTGCTTGGGATGCAGAAGGTCCCAGGTTCAATCCCCGGCATCTCCACTGAAAAGGATCAGACAGTAGGTGACGTGAAAGATCCTGAGATCCCGGAGAGCCTCGGCCAGTCTGAGTAGACAATACTGACCTTGATGGGCCAATGGTTTGATTCAATATAAGGCAGCTTCATGTGTGTTTATATGTGTTCAGGGTATTGTTTACGAAGGGAAACGGGGAGCTATCAAATGCATACGTTCTGAGCTTTACATCCACATTTTAAAGGAATCCAATTCTGCATAAGATTGTTAAAAAAAATAGCATTTTCTCCCGGGTTATTTCACTGCGTGCATACAGACTGCAACTTCGATATTTATCTAAGCATACAACTCCATTTCTTCTTTACTACAGTCAGTGGACAAAAGGGAGCAACAGCCAATAAAAAATCCGCAAATGGAAAAGAACGATGCCTTACCGAGACAGAACTCTGCAACCCTAGAGCACAGCTTTGTCTAAAAATGCTGCAAGCGTATAATTGGGACCTGCTGTTCATAAGAAGCAATTTGGGCGAAGTATGCCAGCTCAAATTAATTTGAAGATTAATTTCCCGAGCTACTGCTGATGTGGCTGACAGCTTCAACTCCTGAGAATCTCGAGACGATCAGCTAAAAACTGCTCATTTGGCACCCTAAACGGCTCTCTCTCTGATAAATGAAATGTAGCCACAATTAGTTTTCCCTCACATGCCAAATGCACACATTAAAAAACACACACACATAAATCGTAGCAAAACATACGCGAAACTCATGCATTCATTTCATTTATATTTTCCAGCCAATCTTGGCTCCTGAATGGAATGCAATCAAGTTGAGTGACTTGCTTCGTCTAGGAAACCCTTTCAAAAGACCTAGCGTTATACTCACCGTCGCCCGCATCCTTGAACGTCTCTCATTCAACTGGTGCTACCACAGTGACAAAGGGTAAGAGGAAGACTCAGCTGTCACCCACTCTGTATGTTCCAACCCGTTCCATTCACCAGACGCAGAGGCAATCTTCACGTTTATATGCAGAAAGTTGACCTCTTGCTATTTAGCAGCGAAATCTAAACTCAGATGCTCATAGCATGTCGTGGTATTCCTCCTCACAGCCACGCATCCATCCAGCATTTAGAGGCAGGATGCCGAAGGTACGATCAATTACCACTACAGCCAGCGATGCCTGCCTCAAGCATTTGCTTCCTACCAAATTAGCCAATGCACAGTGCGCTTCTTGAGGTACAGAATGTATTGTCACTATAGCAACTGGACCAACAAATAGCTGCGGCTACATCTGCTTCTAGATCACCTAATGTCAGGCGACAGAAGGCGAGGGTTTCGGAGAACAAAGCTTCCGAAGATATTCTACTTTAAAAGACAGGCTTCTTCCTCATTTTTTCCTCTCTGGTTTCGAGGCAGAGCCTTCTAGCCGGAACACATCCACTTCTGGCTTTAGCTGAGGATAGGGGAAGCGGTGGGTAGTGACAGTCTATTAGCTGATGGACTGTGTAGCAGAGAAATCCCTCGTCTCCAAGGACTTGGCCGTGTCCCTTTTTTTTCTGCATCGCCCCGCTCATTCAGCATTTCCGTTGAACTGTCTGGTTGTACGGTACTGAGCAAGGGTATTGAACGTACATTCTCTTGTCATTGCTTCCCAACTCTTCCTGAGAAGTAGAATTTGTATATTTTTGCCTGAAGCGCCGTCTTGTAGAATAATGAGCTTGGCTGCATATGCTGATTGCTAATTTAATTTTTTTTTTTTTTTTGGCTGGGTAGGGGAAAAAGAGTCGACGGCTGCTGAGGAAAATGAAAAATACGGGAAAAGAGACAGGAGGGACTGTTGGAATGAAAGAAGAGAGGGGAGATGACCATGAAAGGGAGAGATAAATATTAGTGCGGCTTATAGAATGGAGGCTGCTAACTTTTAAACTGGTTCCTCTAGATGTCCTTTTCATATCAGTTTGATCTGCAAGCAGTTTCCCGGCGATGTCATTTAGCTTCGTGCCGTGAAAAGCTCCGGCTGCCTGTTTCCTCTCGTAAACCCTCCATTAAAGAGACAAGACATCCTTTTTCCCCCAGTCCAGTGGACAATCTTATACAGAACCAGGAGAGAAAGTACGCACTGGGCTGTAAGGCAGGATGCGGAAGAACAATATGAAACGTGACACTGGAACAGAAGAAAAGAAAAATGGCACTGGAACGGAAGAACACAAAATAAAATTAGAGTCTGGTAGCTCCAGACAGACTGGCAACATTTCCCGGGGTATAAGCTTTCGTGAAATAAAGCTAACTCCATCAGATACAAGGAAGAAATGAAGGTCCATCAGCCCTTGTGTTCAAATCAGAAGGTGGGAGGGGTTACAAATAAGGTCGTCGGCCTCCAGGTGGGGCCTGGAGACCTTCTAGAATTACAACCAATCTCCAGACTACAGAGATCAGTTCCCCTGGAGAAAAATGGCTGCTTTGGAGGGTAGACTCTACGGCATTATACCCTCCTGACGTCCCTCCCCTTCCCAAACCCTGCCTGCAGGTTCCACCCCAAATCTCCAAAAATTTCTCTACCTAGAGTTGGCAACACTGAAGGCCAGGTGGAGTCAAGATGTAAAAACAGTAAAACACAATGAGCTTGCTTATAGCTAGGAGATGTGCATGCAGGTGGACACTGCAGAAAATTAGCATCTGTAAGAGCCTTGACCTGGATAGTCTGGGCGAAACCTGATCTTATCAGAAGCTAAGCAGGGTTGGCCTTGGTTAGTCCTTGGATGGGAGACCACCAAGGAAGTCCAGGGTTGCTGATTGTTAGAAATGAAGGGCTTTTGTGCTGTCTCTTAGCCTCAGACTTCAGAAGGGGACTATAATGAGTCAGAGAGATAGGTAGGCCAGGACACTGATCATCCTTCCCTTCTACTGCTCTGATACTATCCCTTTGATTTGTAGACTTCTACTCTCAGGGAATCTTCCTTCCTTCCTTCCTTCCTTCCTTCCTTCCTTCCTTCCTTCCTTCCTTCCTTCCTTCCTTCCTTCCTGCTTGACACCACCTCTCCACACTATGCTAGCTCTTCTCCATCTTGGCACCATGAGGACAGGACATGCTTCCTGCATCTCTATCCATCCTAGCTAGTTAGACTAGCATACTATCTCTACACTATCCTGTCTAGAATGGAGTTCCTTACAATAAAGGACTCATATCAGTTTTACAAAGGTAAAGAGGATCTGTATGCAACTTTGTTTCTTGTCAGCACACACAAACCAGTTAGACTGCTGCATTATGTGCCTTGAGCACTCTGCTAACCCAACTAATCCTTCAGTCTGACCATATCTCCCAGCAAGCAGTGCTTCCAACCCAGCTGTTTATAACCACTGCTGTATCACCAGAGGCCGGCATTTGAACTCCCAAACATCACCTCAGTGGAGTGCCTCTCCTTTTTCATGGGATAAAAACAGAGCTTCTTATTCTGCCCCAGGGGTCATTTCCTGCAGGAGCGCACAGGAGCGGAGCTCCGGCAGTAAAGAGCCCAGATGGGCGGGCACATGCAACAAGCCCCACCCCCTGCTCCCAGCAGCCCTCAGTCAGAGCAAGAAGCAGCCAGGTAAGTTGCAGAGCCCCCCCCCCAGCCCCCCGGTCCAAAACAGTCCAGTGGCACCTTTAAGACCATTTTATTCAGGCACAAGCTCTCCCTCCTCTGCGAGGACAGATCTGCACGTCCCCCCCCCCCAATAGCTAGCAATCCAAAACAGTCCAGTGGAGCCTGAGTGGTGGGTGTTGCCTTCTGACACACTTCCAGTGATGTCAGGGGGTGTGGCATATGCAAATGTCGTGCTAATGAGTTATGCTAATGAGCCCCTGCACCTCTTTTTCTACGAAATTACCCCTGTTCTGCCCTATGAAGACGCCTCATAGTCTAGCGCTCCCTATCACCATCTCTCCCATGCGTAGGGTTGCCAAATCCCTCACTGTCTCGACTGTGTAAGTGTGAATGGCCTGTATATTTTCTCCTACCCATCTGGAATTGTCAAGGAACAAGTGGATGGGCAGTGGATGGGAGGGGAGGGAATAAGCTACACCCATAAATGCGTTCCTTATTGTAACAAACGGAAACCAAATCCATAGGTAAGAAACGAATCGATCTGAGGGTAATAATTTATATTGCTGAAGGGAATTTTGAATCTGACTTTTTTGGGTACACTCCCTCCTATTTGCATGTAATGTTGCAGAAACAGGATTGTGGGGATGCCAGCCTCCAGGTGGGACCTGGGGATCTCCTGGAATTACAGCTCATCTCCAGGCTACAGAGGTCAGTTCCCCTGGAGAAGATGTTTTGGAGGGTGGACTCTATGGCACGGGTGTCGAACTCATTCGTTATGAGGGCCGGATCTGACACAAATGAGACCCTGTTGGGCCGGGCCATGTGTGTCATAAAATGTAATGCCAGGTAGCAGACATATAAACTTTATAAAGGACACAAACACAAAGGTTTTTTTTTTACTTAAAACAAAAACATGCTTAAAACGTTAGCACTCTTGCAATATTTTATTTAACAGTGTCTGATAACTGATACCCCTTGCTCTGAATTCTTGCATCAAAATGTCTGTGCTGTTGCAATCTTGAGTATGCTGTTCAGATGTGTATCTGTAAGCTGCAAACCTACGATGATGCAGCAGCAGCAGAACTGGAAGAAGAAGCAGAAGACAGCCAGTTCCACTACGGGTCTGATAGAAGCCCTCCGGGGGCCTGATCTGGCCCCCGGGCCACATGTTTGACACCCTTGCTCTATGGCATCACACCCCACTGAGATTGCTGTCTTCCCCAGGCTCCATCCCCACATCTCCAGGAGTTCCCCAAGCTGAAGCTGGCAACCTTACCCCCCACTAGTGACCGGGGGGAACCTGGAAACCCTAAGAATGAGTATGCAGATAGAAGGAGGAGGAGGAGGAGGAGGAGGAGATTGGATTTATACCCCGCCCTTCACTACCCGAAGGTGTCTCAGAGCCGCTTACAAACTCCTTCCCCTCCCCACAACAGACACCCTGTGAGGTAGGTGGGGCTGAGAGAGCTCTGAGGGGGCTGCTCTTGAGAGAACAGCTCTGAGAGAACTTGTGTCTGACCCAAGGTCACACCAGCAGCTGCATGTGGAGGACTAGGGAATCAAACCCAAACCCAATCAAACTCCCAGATTTGAGTCCGCAGTCCTAACCACTACACCAAGTCAGTCAGTAGAAGGCTGCAAGACTATTCCTAGTGAGGCATGAATTTAAGGAATGCCATAGTCGCCCAACTGTTGGTAAAAGTTCTGTAGGGGAAAACAGTATAATGAAGCACCCAGTACTTCTTTGACCCTTTTTTCATGCTCCTTTAGTGATTCATGTCCATCTCTCTGCAGATAGACAGTGTGGTGTAGTGGTTAGTGTGTCAAACTAGGACCTGGGAGACGAAGCTTTGAATCCCGGCCTTGCCATGTGCCTTTGGACCAGTCAGGCACTCTCAGCCTGATTTACCTCACGGGTTTGTTGCTGTGAGAATAAAATGAAGGAGAGGAGAATGATGTCAGCTGCCTTGAGTCCCCATTGGTGAGAAAGGTGAGGTGTGAGTGAAATAAATTAATATCTCACTTGTTCACTTATGGGTATGTGTAAGATTTTGCCAGCGAGAGTAAGAGCAGCTTAGGAGATAAAAGAGTCCGTTTCTCCCACTCT